AAACGGTTGGAAAGTTATAGGTCAAAAACTGGACAGAGGTCGAAACTGAAAAACAGAGAAAACGACTCTATGCAAAAACGACCGGTCTCTTTTACTTCACGACCGGTCGCTCATCACGCAAAAATTAAGTTTCGACTCTGTGCTAAAACGACCGGTCGCCCTGTTCATACGACCGGTCTCCAATCACTGTTCACAACCGGTCTCCGGACACTGTTCACGCACTATTTTAGCACTGTTCATAGGTGATAAAGTGGTGATAGAAAATGCTGTTTGTGTTTTTCTTTAGTTTTCTTGTGTTGTTTCATTTCTTTTACACTTCTTTACTCATTTTTAGTTTCCATTTTGCATTTGTGCATTTGTGGTGTGTCAAATAAGTGTTCTTTACGTACTCAAATTAGAATTTATAGGAAGCCGACAAGTTCTTCGTGTGATCGACCCCGTACTTACATAATCTATACTTCAATAGATTCGTGCACTTGCGGGTATTTTTAATTGGTTGTTTGCACATTAATTTGTGTCCTTTTACGAGTACAACAATAGACTTCCCATTTTTGTCAGCTAAGTTCTTAAAATCTAATCTAATTTGAATCCAAGATAATTCAACTTATCAAGAAGAGCCTGTGTGACTGCTGTGGCACTCTTTCAATTTTTATGTTTAGTCTTTGATTTAATCCGGTGCAGCTACTCCTCCTCCCCACTTCTGGACACGGCTCTCTGCTTCCTCCAACCAAGAGTTTAATATACTCAATTAAGCAAAGAAAGATGGAAAGGAAACAAAATCGAAACATACTCAAAACGATTTCAAGTCAAAAATCACGAATTAAATAAATAAAATCTTTTGGGTATTGGTTGACAGAGATGTAAGACTTAATGTTGTCTTAAACTTAATCATGAAGAGGTCAGATACCCTCTCTGTTTGTGTTATTGTGTGAGTGGAGCCGAATGGGCTAGCTGCAGATTACTTTGACAAGTTGGGACTGACCAAAAGGCCCAAATATTAAGGGAAAATATTGAAAATCACTTTTTTGTATCACACACCAATTTCTATGCCAAATACCTTTAATAGGCACACGGTGGGAGAATAAGGGCCTGTTTGGTATTCAACTTGAATCCAACTTTTTAAACTCAAAAACAAAATTTGAATCCAAAACAAATGAGGATGGCTATTTTCTTTATTGTAAAATGAAATTGATATTTGAAACATTTCACCATACATAACTGATGTAGTCATTCAGGAAGGATTATACATCCATACAGTACAGAGATAAATGGTAGATATAACAACCCACAAGTTCTCAAATTTTTAAGATTTGAAAATAGTTTTCAAGTTGCATACCAAACAAGTTTTTGAATCTTAAAATTAGATATAAGAACTCCTTATTTTTAAGAAAAATAAAAGTTTTTGAGTTCCCTATTTGAATAGGACACCAAACGCCTCCTTAGTTTCTAAAAAAATTTCACAAAACACTTTTATGAATTTATATCTAGATAATCAGTGGGTAATAGCCATTAGATATTTCCATCTGGAAGAAAAACAACTTCACATGCCTGTTATTAAGCTTGGGTTGTGCTTAGTTTTGTAATGTATGCCCAAATTTGAGAATATGGTTTGTGCAACCAAGGTGTTCGATGAAATCACAGACGCAGTTCGAGTGCCGTGGGCAGCACTTAGTTGAGGCTATTGAGGGTCAAGAGATATGGGATGGCTATTTTCTTTATTATAAAATGAAATTGATATTTGAAACATTTCACCATACATAACTGATGTAGTCATTCAGGAAGGATTATACATCCATACAGTACAGAGATAAATGGTAGAACTAGATGGAAAGAAACAGCACAAGGAAAAAACAGAAAGCAACACCAAATGCATATCCTAATAAATTGAGTGTCTGGGTCCCCTACTCTTCCTCCTTTTCATGATTATCAATCTGATCCTTCCAACAATCTCGAGGAACCACTCACGACTCCTTGAGATCGCTACATCCGCAAGCACCACTCCCACTACCAACCCACTTCCAAATCCTGCCAAAGCAAATTTCCAATTAAGTTCAAATCCAAAGCCTGAATCGTTTTCTTCTTTGGTTGAAGGCGGCAGTTGAGAAGCATTAGGATCTCCACATTTCTTTGGCAACACATCTCCACACAATCCTGGGTTTCCCTCATATGAAGTGACATCGAATGTAGTAAGTTGGCCTCTATACGGTATAGGACCTGTGAGATTATTGTGAGAGACATTGAAACTTGCAAGGAATGTAAGCTGCGTAAGTTGTTGTGGGATCTCTCCTGAGAGCTTGTTCTGTGAAAGGTCTAACGATTCAAGCAGTGTTAAGTTGGCCAAGAATGATGGGATGCTACCAGTGAGAATGTTATTGGAAACATTGAGCAAGCGAAGGCCCTTTAGGTTCCCAATGAATTCAGGAATCTTCCCTTCAAATTTGTTGCTTGAGATATCAACGACCCCAAAGTCTTCTTGAATCTTCGAGTAGTATCTATCCACACCTTTATTTGTTACTGTGATTGAGAAGTCATATAAGTAAGGCTGTGATGCACCACCGACAGGAAGACTTGAGTTTGTGCGCATATATGTGGGTTGGCCTAGAGTGATACCTCTCATGGGATTTCCAGAAAAGATGTATTCAGATGGAAACTCGCCTCTGAAATTATTGTGAGACAGATCAAGAATGCGCAACTCAGGGAAATGAAGATTCCTTTTTTGTTTCCCAATCACACCATAGAACCCATTATGGTGCATTGACAAAAGTTTCAATTTTGGGAGAGTCCCCAACCAAAAGGGGAAAACATCATGGAATTCATTTTTTGATAGAATAAGAGATTCAAGCATCAGACAATTCGCCAATTTCCTTGGCAACTGCCCCTGCAATTGGTTGAGGCTAACATCAAAAACCCTCAGATTGCTTGTGTTGGTGTATGCTTGAGGAAGAACGCCATGAAAAGAATTATTCTGAATACTTAAAACTCGTAGATCATCGCTGAAGTCTCCAAGACACTGAGGAAGCATGCCACTCAACTTGTTATTTGACAAACCAAGAAACTGAAGAGCACTCAGATTACAAATCAATGGTGAAATCTCTCCAGTTACCTTGTTGTCAAAAATTGTGTAGTATAAGATGCTTGGTTGAGGTATCGGTAGTGGTCCTTGTAGCATGTTAAGATAGAGTCGTAAAACTTGTAGGTTGACCCAGGGAAGGACAACAGGCGAAGGTTGACCAAAGCCGGTAAGGGAGTTTACAGAAAGGTCCAGATACTCCAAAGTTTCTGTGCTTATGTTCAACATCCATTTCGGCACTTGGCCAGACAAGTTGTTTCTAGAAAGGTCCAACCATAACAAGTTTTGTTCATGTCTTAGGAATTGTGGGAACTCTTTTATGTTGCAAGAACTCAACCCGAGAACCCTAAACTTGGGAAGAGTTGCATTCATAGTTCTAGATTCAGTGAGCACTTCCAGTTTGTTACCACCAAGTTGGAGATGGGTGACATTTTCTAGCTTAAGAATCTCCACTGTACCATGCAGACTATTTTCGAAAAGATCTATGTAAGCTAGCCTGCTAAGATTACCCAGGCAAGATGGGATTGGCCCAGTTAGTTGATTAGAAGAAAAATCAAGAGTTTCAAGGTCTTGCAACTCAAAAATTCTTGCCGGAAATTTTCCAAACAACCCACAATCGTTGAGGCGGAGAGATGTCAAAAATGATAAATTTGCTATAGAATCAGGTATTGTTGAAGATATGTTTATGAAGCTGAGGTGAAGCTTTTCTAGAGTGGTTAAGTTTCTAATGAGGCTTCTCAAATCGGATTCTCTAATACTCAACAATCCTTCA